CATTTAAGGAGATGGATTAACACAGTGACTGTAACCATGGGCATCAATTTGGCTGAGATTATGAGGATGACTCAGGATAGGGCAAGGTTCAGATCTATTGTTTACAAGGTTGCTATGAGTTATTGTCAACATCTCAAAACAATAACATAGGGAAGAGTTGAATTGTTTCCAGGGTTTCTGAGGCTGCAAATTTTTACAGGAAAAACTGCCTCCTTCATCTTTTTTCTACAGAGTGTTTGGTGGTTTGAAACATATCAGATGAGACTCTGAGTGTTGCATTAGAGTGCCGAGAAGCCAAAGCTAAAGCAAGAAATCAAAGAGCTGAACAGGAAATTTCAAAAGGCAGCTTGGGATAACAAAGAAAAATACTATAATGAAATGTGCAGAGAGCTGGAGTCAGAGAATCAAAAGGGCCAGACTCGCTCAGCGTTTCTTAAGCTGAAGGAGCTGAAAAACAAATTCAAGCCACGGGTGGAAATACTTTAGGATACTGTGGGTAGAATGTTGAATGATCCAGGAAGTATCAAAAGAATATGGAAGGAGTACACAGAGTCACTGTATCAGAAGGAATTGGCTGACACAAAGGAATTTCATGAAATAACATGAGCGAGAACCTATGGTGATAAAGGAGGAAGTCCAAGCTGCTCTGAAGGAATTGGCAAAAAACAAGGCTCCAGGAGTTGATGACATACCAATTGATTTATTTCAACAAACAGACGCTGCCCTGGATGTGCTCAGTAAGTTGTGCCAGGAAATCTGGAGGACAGCCAGCTAGCCAACTGACTGGAAGAGATCGATATTTGTTCCCATTCCAATGAAAGGTGACCCAACAGAGTGTGGAAATTATCGAACAATATCATTGATATCACATGCAAGCAAGATTCTGCTGAAAATGATTCAAAAACATTTGGAACAATATGTCAACAGAGAACTGCCAAATGTGGAAGCTGGATTTAGGAGATGTCATGGTACTAGGGATGTTATAGCTAATGTTAGATGGATCTTGGCAGAAAGCAGAGAATACCAGAAGAATATCTATCTGTGCTTCATCAACTGTGCAAAGGCTTTTGACTGTGTGGATCACAACAAGCTATGGCTGACTCTGAGAAGAATGGGAATCCCAGAACATTTAATCGTGCTAATGCGAAACCTATTCTTGGACCAACAGGCAGTCGTTAGAACAGAGCAGGGA